GACTTAGAGGCCCGATTGGTTTCCAGGTCTTTCTGCCATAGAAGGGTCTTGGTTTAAAGGCTCGGGAGGGTCCTTTCTCCTGCGGAGACCCTGGCGACTGGGGAACCCAACTGGCTCAGAAACTGATTCCAACCCCCAATGAGGGATGTTAGGAGGGCCAGGCAGTGGGGAGAGTGACCAGGGCTTGTCTTGTAGGTGTTTCAGGAGCCAGGTGCGCCTCCGGGGCCCTCCTCCCTCCCTCCTTCCCCCAGCAGCGTTCCCTGGGGGAGGGCAGCCATGTCCAGTCCTAGATGGGTGGGTGACCCTGGGCAGCTTCTGTTCTCCTATGAGACCCAGGTAAGGAACGCTCCGCCCACAGAATGGCCCTGAAGATGAAATGCCCTGACATCTGCGAAGGCCCCTCCAACGCTGTCTAGCCGGTTTGAACATGGGCGAATAAAAAACGGAAATGGAATGAAATAAATCAATGGAAAGACATCAGACACCTAAAAACAAAAAGTCAACGAAACACGAACGTGAATAGGGAATAAACAACAAAATGAACAGCCAATAAAGTGCAATGAAGCAGGTTGTAAAAAGCATTAAGATCATCAAGTGATAGAATTAAAAAAAAAACATGGAATCGATCACACATGAAATAAAAACCGGGCAGTTCAATAAGATGGTTGCCGTGTAAATAAAAGCAAAGTAAAGACAAGCAGGAAAATGGATAAATAATGAGAAAGAGTGTAAACAAGCATTTGAGCTAATAAAATAAGGGAGGAAATGAAAATACGCAAGAAAAAAGTCAGTCCTGACACAAATTTAAAGTAAATCAGAGAGAGCCTTACAAGAATTAGCAGTGAGCTAGAAGGAGATAAATAAAAAGGAATGTTAATTTAATTGCGGTTTAGGATAAATAGAAATGCATTTCAAAGCAATAAGGAAGGTTAGGATAGCTGCAAGGAAAAAAATAAGTAACATGAAAAATAAGCATTGGATTTAATACCTAATAAAATAGAATTGGGAGGGCTGGGAAGGGAGGGTTAAAAGAGGAGCTGAGTCCAAGGGCTCAAACAAAATGTAAATGGTTTAGAAAACAATGATGGAAACACATGTACAAATGTGCTTGATACAGTCGATGCTATAAGAGCCCCCAATGAAATGATCTTCAAAAAAAGCAAAATAGAAGAATAAAACAAACCAAAAGAAACGAGAAAATAAAGATAAGCATCAAAATGAATAAAGAATAAAATCATACAAGGCATTAGGGAAACAGAGGGAAGCCAGACACAGGTGGTGACAAATCCAAGACCAGCCAGCTAGCCAGAGGAAGGACCCAAACTCAGAGCTACTGGATGTGGGGTCAGCCTTGGTCCCCCTCTTCCCGGGTTTGTCATTGAGAGGTGGAGGCCAGCCAAGGGGTGCTCAGGAGGGCTGGTTGTTGGCGTCCTCATTATGTTAGTTCTCAGCCTCTGTCCTGGACCAGCCCCCACATCAGCAGGAATCGGGGGTGCAGGGTGGGGAGAGGGTAGCGAGGATGATTGAAAAAGAAGCACCAACTCTCTAGAAATTCACAGTCCAAACCCAGATGGCAGGAAAGGCAGCTCCATCCGCCTCTGAGCCTTTGCATATGCTGTTCCCTCTACCTGGTATGCTTGTCCCGCAAGTTCCCACACAGCTCTGTCCCTCTTTCCTTCTGAACTTTGCTGCGAGACCCTCTTAGGGCCACCTCTGACCGTCCCCTTTACCACCCGCAACTCCTGCCCCTGCCATGCCACTCCCAATCATATTTCCACAGCGGTTCTCACCCTGTGGGTCGCAACCCCTTTGGGAGTCGAACGACCCTTCCACAGGGGTGGCCTAAGACCATTGGAAAACACATAAATATTTCTCAATATGTAATTACATATTGTTTTGTGATTAATCACTATGCTTTAATTATGTCTAATTATGTTCAATTTGCAAAATGAAAATACACCCTGCATATCACATGTTTACATGATGATTTATAGCAGTAGCAAAATTGCAGTTATGAAGTAGCAATGAAAATAATGTGATGGCTGGGGGTTACCACACCATGAGGAACTGTACTAACGGATCGCGGCATTGGGAAGGCTGAGAACCGTTGCTCTAGCACAAAAATCTGACATTTTCCCTTATGGACCTTGTGTAGAGTCCCGCCCGTTTCCCCTAGTCCACGTGGGCGCCGTGGAAGGGACGCATTTCTTGATTTTTTTAAATTTGGGTCTGTCACGTTCACGGCTGGCTCTCTGATGCCTAGAACAGCGACCGATACAAATAATCGCAGAAGAAACCCTCCAATACAACAATCAGAGTTCTTGAGATAGTAGGTCCTCGATAAACTAATTCTGGCTTACGGAGACCCTCCAGGGCAGAGCAGACTGCTCCTGTGGGTTTCTGAGACTGTAACTCTTTAGGGGAGTAGAAAGCCTCATCTGTCTCCTGTGCAGGGGCTGCTGGATTCGAACAGTTGACCTTGCAGTTAGCAGCCCGAGGCTTAGAGGAAGTGACATTGGAGGCAGATGGGGAAGGAGGGGTGCAGGGAGGGGTCGCCCAGGCAGAGGGAACAGTGTCGAGGAAGCAGTGGGGCAGAAGGACAGCAGGGGGCAGCAGGGAGCAAAGGGAGGTGAGGTGGGCAGAAGCCAGCAAGGCTTTATAAGCAGGGTTTTGGAGCTGAGCCAGGTGAAGAGATGGATGCTCAGGTTCTCTGGCCAGACCCTGGGGGGTTCTGGGTATCTCAGCACTCCCAGACTAACCTCTGGCTTCTTAAACCGTGCCCGGAGAGTCTTCATGGTCAGTGTCGGGCGTTTCTCCTCTCCCCGGGCCACCTGGGAACAGCCATAAAGATGGGGGAGTGAGGGATTCAGTCCTGATGTACAGGCAGGTCCAGCTGCCTCCTCTCCACACCCCAAAGGATCACCGCCCTGGGCAGCCTGATGCAGGACTGGGCCTGCCGCTTTGTCCTGCTCCCTGCGTGGCCTGCAATCAACTGCTTTCTTTCTCTGCTGCCCATCCCTCATCGAAGAACTGTCTCAGCAGAGCTTAAAGTCTAAGCACCTTGACTTGCAGGGGGTACACGGACGGACGAAAGTCGCAGCCCAGAATCCATTTGCAGAGCTCCTTCAGAGGAGAATCAATGTGCTTGAATTATGGTGCTGGAGAAAAATGCTGGATGTACCCTGGACCACCCAAAGAACACATCAATCTGTCTTGGAAAAAGTACAGCCAGAATATTCCTGAGAGGCAAGGGTGGCGAGGATTTGTCCCATGTCCTTTGGACATGTGGTCAGGAGAGACCAGTCCCTGGAGAAAGACATGATGCTTGGTCAAGTGGAGGGGCAGGGAAAAAGAGGAAGGTCCCTGATGAGGTGGACTGATACAGTGACTGCCTCCATGGGCTCCGGCACGGGGGCAATTGTCAGGATGACGTAGGACCGGGCACTATTTTGCTCTGTTGTGCGGGAGGTTGCTATAGGTCCAAACTGTCTCGAAGGCACCTGACCACAACAGTTCAAGCCTTCAAGGACCAAGGATGTAGCAGGCGTCCTCAAACTACGGCCCGCGGGCCACATGTGGCCCGCCAAGGACATTTATCCGGCCCGTCAGGTGTTTTTGCCCCGTTTGTTTTTTTACTTCAAAATAAGATATGTGCAGTGTGCATAGGAATTTGTTCATAGTTTTCTTTTTTTAAAAACTATAGTCCGGCCCTCCAACGGGTCCGAGGGACAGTGAACTGGTCCCCTGTTTAAAAAGTTTGAGAACCCCTGATGTAGATCCTCTTGCCCTCAAGCAGAGTGCATTGAAAAGTGGATCACCTGCATTTCTCTCTAGGCAGCCCAGGGAGGATCAGTCTGGCCTGGGTGTGTCCTTGAAGGCGATCATCATGCTGGGACCACCTTACTGAGGGTCGCAGAGTCCCCAGTCATGCCTCATTGGCAGTGCCCTGATTGCATGGCTTGGAAGGTCCTGGATCAATCTTGTCTCTAAGTCTGGACGTGTCCCAATCAAAGTCCCCGTTGTTCCTGATTCTGTCGTCCCACCTGTACTGTGATGTACCGATCCACCCCCAATCATTGCTCCGTGACAGTCCCTTTTGTTTCAGGCCTTAAAAAACAAAACTAGCATCCACTCTGGCTCCTCCGACGTCACCGTGGCCCCTGTATTACGATGGCCTCCCTCATCCAGACGATTCTGTGTCTGCCTGTTGTTGTCTTTGTCCTGTCGGAGATTCAGAAATGCTCTCCTTCAATTCGTGTGAGATGGGGGTCTCTTTGGTGCCCTGACACAAAAGGGGGGTGGGGACAACTCCCTCTTGAAGGGGCCGTAGTTGCGTAAACAGACACGTGGTGGGCTGCTGGCGGAAAGGTTTAAGAGCACTGGGCAGCTCCGCGGGAGAGAAGACGGGTCATCTGCTAACTTGGGGAGGACAGTTGTCACACGGGGTCCATAACAACCCCCAACAACCACAAGAAGCCCCTCCTGACCGACTGTGGCATGTTTTCGATCAGGTTTCTAGCACAGACCCCGTGCATGGCTGGCTGGGGTTCAATAAAGGCGCCTCGCCTGGCCATGGCCAATTAATCTTAGCCCTCACCTGACCAATGAATCTTAACGCTTGTCTTCAGCTGCAACCCAGTGCTGTAGACTCAGACCTTCTCGGACAGAGTCGAGCGGCTCCCTAGGGTTTTCTGGAGCTGTCATTCTTGACAGAAGCAGACAGCCTGGTGGGTCTGAACCTCCAACCTTCTGGTTAGCAGCCCCGTGCCTCGCCCCTCTCCAATTCCAGCTCCCGGTACCTCCTGTGCTCCAAGAGGACCATGGTTTCCCCGGCCTCCTCTTCCCTGTTACCTCTGCCTAGAAGGCCTTTGGATTGTCTCTTCCTGGCAAACTCCTACGCGTCCTTCACAACCCAGTCCCCAAATTCCATGTTCTGATCAGTCTTGCCTCTTACCTATGCACAGAGTCCTAACTTTTCAAATTGCGCGCGCGCACACACACACACACACACACAGAGCCCTGGATCCCTTCCTGTGGCCCAACTCCAGACAAGGAGAGTCTGGACTCATTTCCATTGCCTGTGGCAGTCACGGGCTCTTTGAGGGCTGAGCCCAGACCAAGGTGTGTCTGCACAGAGAACACCATGGCAGAAAAGCCCCCTTACATCAGCCTGCTTCTGTGAGGTCAGAGCATGGTGGATGAGTGGACCGGTAGAGGGTAAGCCCCTCCCAAGGTGGTGGAGGTGTGTGGTGATGGCTGCATTTGTGTGTGAGTGCACACGGGATCATGGAACGGGTGCACACATGTGCATCTGCCTGTCCACCCCTGCCAGTTACACATACCAGGCATGTGTGAACGTGGGGCGTTAGGCAGGGACACCTGGCCAGGCTGTTTTGCCAGGTGTGGAACTGGGGTTTCAGAGTGTTGGTGGGATCCCTGTGAAGGTATATACTTGTTTGTCTGCCTTTGGGGGCAGTGGGTGGGGTGGGGTGTAGGATCATCTGCCTGTGAACCCTACCCACCCACTCAGTATAACATCCATCCTCCTATCCAAGTAGGGCAGGGCACTCCCACCCACCAGCCACCAACTAACCCAGCCATTCACCCACCCATCTGCCTACCCACCCACTCACTCACCCACACATACCTGTAAACTCACTCATCCACCTACCAGCTACCCACCTAGTTATCCCTCCCATCTACCTACCACCTCACTCAGTCACCAGCCTATTCATAACACTCTATTCATACCCTTTACTACATCTGCCCATCCCCCCCACCCACTTACCCACCAACCAAGCATCATTTATTCATCTACCCACCGTACCACATCCACACACTTTACTACATCTTCCCACCCCATCCCCATCCATCCAGCCACTCACCTAACACATTCGACCACCTACTCATCCATCTGCCCAGCCTGCTTCTACCATCTGCCTACCCAGCCAACCCTCTTCAATCCAGCCACTCTTTGGCCTTGCTGCCCACCCTTATACCTATCCATCCATCCATCATCCATCCATCTATCTACTTATCCCATCCACCCACCCACCCACCCATTCATCCAGCCATCCATGTACCCATCCATCCATCCACCCATCTATCCACCCAGCCATCCACTCACCCATCCATCCATCCACCTTCTATCCATCCACCCATCCATCACCACTCTTCAACTCAGCCGCTCCTTGATCTTGCTGTCCCAACCTCCCACCTACACACCCAGCAGCCTCTCCTGCTTCACCTGCCATCTATCCACCCAACCACCCACCACTTTTCTGTCAGGGCCCCACCCGGGGTGGGTACCCACCACTTTTCAACCTACTCATTCACACACAGATTCTCCCATCCACCCCCCCCATCGACTGCCCACCCATCCATGCCTGGATCCAGTAGGCAGTATATCCTCACCCCCACTCTTTTTCTGACCCTTTATTCAAGGACTCAGTCACACCCAGAGAAGTGGGGACTAGACACCCAAGGGAGCACTCCACAGGTTGCCTGGAGCAAGAGAGAAGCAGTGGGCTCAGTGGAGGACTCCCCTCACTGAGAGTATGGCCTCCTGAAAGAGGTGATGATGGCCAAGCAGGATATGAGACAGTAGCGGCAGCAAAGAAGGGTGTCCTAGATAGGGCACAGGGTAGAGGGGGCAAAATGTGTGTGTGTACACACACATCCAGGCCCTAGGTTCCTTCTCAGCATGGCTGGGACCCACCACTGGCCTCTGTACACCCCAGGGCTTAGGGGCAAAGAGCCCCAGGCCCCGTGGGCGCCTACATAGTAGGCCTCCCTCACTCCTTCCTCTCCTACCTCCTGAGGCTCCAGCTCCCAGCACCAGGCCGCTGTGTGGGCTGCCAGCTCCGGTTACCTGCTCCCAGCTGGGCTATGAGCTCGCACAGCAGTTCAGGGCGTTCAGCTCCAACAGCTCCGACACCCGATCAGCTCTGAGCAGGCGGCCGCCCCAGGGGGCTGAGGATGAGCCCAGGGAGGGAGGGAGGGAGTGGACAGGCTGGCAGCAGGGCTGCCTGTTGGCCAGCGGGCTCCAGCGGAAAGACACCTGCTGTCTCCCCTCATCCCTGGCTGATTTCAGTTTCTGGAATGAGCCACAAGCTTGGTGCCCCGCTGGCCTCTGTGCTGGGTGCTTCCTCTGCCAGGAGTCCGATTTCTGAACCCGTCACACCAGCTCTGAGAGCTTGGCTGCAAGATCACCTCCTCCAGGAAGCCCTTGGGGGATGCCCCCTGGGCAGCATCATCCCGAGCTCCCTGCGTGCCCTCGTCGGCCCCCCATTGTTCAACACCCACACGGGGACACCTTTGTCGGCTCATGTGCTTGGCCACTAGCCGAGAGAGCAAAGGTGTGCATCTCCGTGGCTCCCCGTGGCTCCCCGGGGGCCCCCCCCCCCGTGCACAGTGGGCACTCCACGTGCCGCTCAAGGAGGCCACTGGCCTCCGTGACCCTGAGCGGTTTCTCTCTCCGACCCTAGGTCTGGAATTGGATAAACTTGGGAATTCTGCGGGAGCAAGATTGTTGGTGTCGAAGCCCGATTCCTGGGCCCCTGATTCCCGGCTCTGTCTTCTTAGGGGGCTCCGGGGACCCTCCGTTTATTCGTTTATAAAACAAGGGGAGGAGGCCCTGATCTTTTAAGGCTCCAGCTGACTGGAGAGCTCCCACGCGGCGGCGGCCCTGTCCCAACCCTGCAAGCTTAGGGAAGGGATGGAGAGGCCCGGTGCCAGCACTAAAGATGGCGACTGTGGAGTCAGCGACGGGCGTGTGCGCGTGCGCAAAGGAGGAAAAAACCGCGGGTCTTCCTTCCGCCTCGTCTCCCCCTATTTCCGGCGGAAGCGGCCTCAACAAGAGAAACTTTATTGTTCCCGTCGGGGCGGCAAGGATGTCGGTGAATTACGCGGCGGGGCTGTCGCCGTACGCGGATAAGGGCAAGTGCGGGCTCCCGGAGGTGAGTGCGGCGCAGCGCTCCGCGGGCCGCCCCAGGGCCGCGGGCTGGGTGGGAGTATCAGGAGGTACCGAAGTTAGACCATGGGAGGGACTTTCCAGGGAGGAGGGGGCGGGAAGTGACGACCCCCTGCACGCCCGGTGCCGCGAGCACGCCCAGCCCCGGGTCCTCCGGCGAAGGACTGAGGTCCTGAAAGGCCTGCGGGTTTGGCGGGAGAAGGAGGGAGCCTAGTTCCAGGTGGAGGAGGGCAGGGGAGGGATGCACACGCTTATTAAAAGAACAGATTAAACGAAAGAGACCTGGCAGAGCCCGACCGAGAGACGGATTCCACATGGCAGGCTGGGGAGTTGACACTTTATTCTGTTAGTGACGGGGAAGGGTTTTGAGCTGGGTAAGGACCAGGAGCTAGGAGCAAGGAGCTTAAGACCCCCCAAGCCACTCCAGGAAGGAATGGGGTGATAGCCTCCCCCTCTGTCCACGGAGGGACCTTCAGCCAACCACTTCCCCCCTGAGCTTCCAGCAGCCATGTGCCATCTGAGGAGCACCAGGGCCACACGGGGCCCCATCCCATCTCGGCTGGCGCATCCAGTCAAAGCATGCATTTCCTCAACTCCCAGCCTCTGTGAATCCACCCCCAAGGCTCACTCTTTACCGCTCCTGTTAGCATCTTACTCCATGGGCGGGTATTGAGCGCCTACTGTGCACCGGAGCCCTGGGAGAAGTGCTGGGCCGCTCTCCACAAGGTCAGCTATTTGGAACCACCAGCCACTCTGAGCGAGGAAGAGGAGGCCGTCTGCTCCTAGTTTACAGCCTTGGAAACCCACTGGGGCCGTTTTCCTGTATCCTACGGGGTCACTGTGGCTTGAAATCAACTTGAATCTTGAATTTACTGTGCACCAAGAATCCGTGCGTGCCACAAACAGTGACCACGCTCAGGCTGCTCGTGGCAAGGCATCGTCTTTGTTGTTAGCTGCTATCGAGGTCCGTTCCGACTCATAGGGACCTCCATGTGCAATAGAGCGAAACACCATCTTCACAATTGTTATGTTGAGCCCGCTGCTGCAGCCACGGTGCCCATCCATTTTGTGCAGGGTCTTTCTCTATTTCCCTGGCCCTCTACCAAGCATGATGCCCTTCTCCAGGTCTTGCCACTTTTTTTTTTTTGCCACTAAGGAGCATCCTGGTTGTACTTCTGCCAAGACACATTTGTTTGTTCTCTTGGCTGTCCAGGGTACTTTCAGTGTTCG